CCCCAAAACCCCAAAACCCCAAAACCCCAAAACCCCAAAACCCCATTAGACTTCAATAAAAGTATCTTATTTTGATTTTTCAGATTATTTACCCAAGTCTTCTATTTATTTTTCTTTGATTATAACTATTATATTTCCGATATTTCTAAGAAATGAAAATATACTTTACCCCACGAGAAACTATTATGAGTCGATATAACGATGAGATTTTAACCTCAGATCCAAATAAAAGACTTTAGGTGCCTCCAGGTGTCAAGGAAGTCCAAGTCTTTACCTAGACTTTGCATAAGCTGAGTAAAGTTAATGTGCCTAAGCTAGCTATTGAAAGAATGGAGAACTATGAAATTGACAAAAAGGATAAGGAATATAATAAGCTGATTAATGATAACAAATACATCAAGCTTAAAATTCCAGGTAGAACTAATTAACCAAAGAACGGATCGCCTCGAAAATCTAAACTAGAGAGGAGTATATTACCACACAATGTAATGTAGGAATTACAAAATGACAAAAGCTAAACAGCAAATAACGATTAGCAGATGACTATAATGGAAGAAACTGAATTGAGAAGAAAATAAATATTAGAGGCTGAAGAAAGACTGAGGAATAGAAATAAAAAATCTCAAAGGGAATTGATTGTCAAGAATCCTTTGGGCTACAAGGAAGATGATTATGATACTAAAGTGTATAAGAATCAGATAAACAAGAATGATAGAACTAATGATATATCTATGGTAGACGAAGGAAAATAAATGGTCTTTGCACTTCCATCTATAAGCACTAAAGGGGCTAAAGTACTGCATGGACTTGTTAATCAAAACATAATTAAGGATGATAGACTCTATAGGACTCAATGTAGATCAGACAGAAATAATCTAAATTCATCAAGAAATTTAACTCTGACAAGATGTGCATTTTACCCGCCCACTGAGTTTTCAATAATAAAGGACAGTTTTATTAAGAAACTTAACGTAAAGGATGGTAAAAGTGGAGAAGAAAGAAAGGGTAATATAACCAATCAGTCTAAGAATATGGACTTTATGAATCACTCCACAAGCAGCCTAGGCTATTCACCAGACAGAAAGGAAAATGACAGTACTGTTTCAAATAGATCCCTTACTTAAAGACTTCCTAGGAATAATAGTATTAGGAGAAGTAGAACAATAGGCTCATTCTAATTGACTAATTTGTAGAAAATGCATTAGACAATTTAGCATTTCTACAATCCTAATGATGCTGATGAAAGTGGAAAAATACTAATAAATTTAGTTGATAACCCTCGAAAGACCATAAATTTGAGCCCATTTCGATCTCCTTCGAAAGCAGCGCAAGAAACATTCTCCCTCGAACTGAATAAGCTAAATTAAGGGATATCAGCATTCAATCTATATACACCTAACTCTACATCGAAATAACAACAGATGTCTCCCACATAGCACAAAAAACTACTAATGCAAAGATAGATCGAAAAGCAATTTGAGATGGAGCTAAAGAAATTTGAGGAGCCATTGTAGCCGAATAAATTTGCTAAAGCAGTAGATTTCTTTTAGCAAGCTTATGATCCAAATCATGATGATCCATTTAAGAGAAAAGTAGCCTCGAAAATCCTGTAGCATATTAATATGGGAGAGTTGAATGAAAAAGTTAGGATGCTAGGTGGAGGTTCTCAATCAGGAGCAAGAAGATTGCAGCAATATGAAATCTTTACCAAAAAACTCACAGATAACGTAATCGATAGGATTAAGAAAGCTAAGCTTATGGCTCTTGACAAGAAAAATGAGATTCTATCAATGCAAAATTAAAATCAACCAAAGAAGAGATTTAATTCTTAGGATGCTAGAGCGTAATCCTAGTAAAACCCACAAAGTGAGAATAAGATAACATTGCCTCTCCACATCAACCAGAATAAAAATGGACTTAGTAAATAATAATGAATTTAAAAGACACTCTAACTTATTCTTTGATTTCTTAATATGATCTAAATTCTGAAAAGAAATTGTGCAGGTGGGGTTTTGGGGTTTTGGGG